AGGTCAGTCGTGACCTTGACCAAATCGGGCTGAAGCATCCAGGCAAAAATATCTTCGGACCTGGGGCGGGCGTTGGGCAAAACAACTTGGCATCGAAGATCCATGAACCATGATACAATGTAAAAGGTTTGCTGTAGGATCGGGTCATCTAGGGGGCCATAACAATTGACGATATCCTCGGACTGGAGGTCCCAAGCGGGGTGGTTCCAAGGAAGCTTAGTTGGGCAAGAGAGAGGAGGAGATCTGTCAAGGAGGTGGGTCATCCAACATGCTGCCCATTGTCTGGGGGTGTAGTGCAATCATCTTCTTTAAGTATTCATGCCATCCACAAACTGATACGTAGCCGAACAGGAGGAGTCAACTATCTCCATTTCATAAAGAATGCGGTCAAGCTGTAGCAATTCGCACTTTCGGGCTAATGGGGAGGAACTTCCAGCCCATCCAAAGCCCCCTTGAAGCTCCCCTTTAAGCTTCCCTTTAAGCCCCCCTTTAGCTTTCCCCTAAAGCCTCCTGTAACCTTTTTAAAACATTTTAAAAACCTGAGCTTCAAAAACCTACGCAAAATCCAATAAAACCCACTGAAACACTGCAAACCTGAGAAAACCCCAGGGAAACCATCTGAAAGCTTTTTGAAAAAACCAAGACAAAAATTAACAAAACGGACATCCGCGGAACCCCTCTGACGACCAATATCGGCGGGCCTTGTTGCATAATGGGCAGCCTTCGCCTGTGCAGGATCTGTCCACACTGTATGTCTGCTGTGGTGGAAGAGGACAGATGTCAGCTTTGACTGGAAGCTTGACTTTTTTGGGTAAAGCCAGGAGGAATATTGTGGTAAAAGCAGTCTTGGCAGGCAACCTGAGACACACGTGCAAAGCTGCACAACTAAGGGCCTTAAGGGCTTTTGCTTGCCACCTTTCTTGCCGGTTGGTTGTTCTTTTCTGGAGGCGTTGTTTTCACACGGGAAGCCAGATCTGGCTTTCACAGCTCCTCATTGCGAGTAAAACAAATAAGCCTCTAGTCGGTTCCGGTTAAATCTTGTGTCAGTCTTCCCCCAAAATTAGAACAGTGAACTTGTTTAGCACCGGAACTTTCTCTAACTGTGGAGGTCACTGAGCTTCCTAGCTTTTTGATCAATTTTGCTTCCCTCATCTTGGGTTAAACCAGTGTTTTTAAAAGCCTCTAACAGTGCCGTTTGGACAGAAATCAACTGCAGGACGAGACGATTTCAACCGTTGTGTTGATTCGTTAAGGTTGCGCGCGACGCCCAAGCCAAACCACTCGAAAATTCAACAAATTTGAATAATTAAGTGTTGATTTTGAGGGTTTTTTCAACATTTTCGGACACTTCAGAAATTTTGAAAATTCATTGAATAGTGCTGAATCCAGGGAAGAATTGCAAAACGAAAGACAAAGAATTGAGAGCGCCCAGCCTGAAAGAAAGCAGAGTTTCTTCTGCTCAATCTTCTGTCAAATTTCAGTGTGTCTTGAATAATGAAATGGAAAATGAGGCTGGGCGACTCTCAAGTCGTTCTGGCCATGAATAAGGAGAGGTCAGTGTGATTGTTTTTTTTTTTTTTTTTTTCAATGTTTGCAAGAACTGCAAAAACATTGGTTTTTGGAGAAATTGAGAAAACACTGGAAAGAAGCCAGAGTCATGAAACTTAGACAACTTTAGCAGATTCATGTACAGCAACACTTTTTTTTTCAGTTCAAGTTGCCTTTGCCCGTCTGAACAGAATTTTTCTCTTGGTAAAGAGATTTTTGAGAAACCGCCCTGAACTAAAACACAAAAACAGATTGTTCAGCAAGTGTTTTGGTGTGTGCTGTCAGCTCGGTAAGCCTGTCGATGAACCAGAAAGAATCGGAACTTAAGAGTCCATGAGAATGTGCATTTTGTGGTTTCGGCTGTTTTTCTGTGTGTGCATGCACAAGAGTTTTGTGGATGTGTGTGTGAGCATTTGTGGTTGCAAAGTGGTTGGTTTGGGTGCATGTCTTTGGCTTCAGTGTGCAAGGAAAGTTTCAGCGTGTGGGTAAAGGGTGGTAACGCATGGAGTCTCAGAAGTAACACCAAATAAAAAAACAATGACCTTGCAAGTGTCTGCGTGTTTTTACCTTGTTTTTCCAATTGTGAATGGGTGTGTTGTGGTTTCGGCGTTTTGACAGTGTGTCATGAAGTGGTGGCGTTTGCGTGTATGTCGGCTGGGTTCTGCTGGCTGTTCAAGTGTGGAAGTGTGTGGGTCCAAAGGTGTGTGGATTTGGATACATAAAAAGAGGGCAAGAAATCAACTCCAAAAGGTAGGGAAGCCGAAGTGACCTCCACAGTATTCCTGGCTAGGCGGGCAAGATTAGAGTGGACAAGGGTGGAATTACTGTGGAGGCTACTTCCATGCGGTTGTCTTTTAGCTTGTGTTCAGCAGCCCTAAATGTTGTTGGCAACATGTAGGAGCACCGTCTTATTAGCTCTGTCTGAAGGGTGTTGAAGCAGTTGCCTCAAAGTTACACTTGCGGCTCTAAGTCGCTTCTTGCAGCCGGCTGCCGGGTCGTTGCTTGAAGGTTGGAAGAGCGCGCGTGCATGGCCAAAAATCTTCTTACTTGTTCAATCTTAGTGTGTCACTCTTCATCAATCTTTACTTTTTTGGGCTGCTGGAATTCCGGCCCTCTGCTGTTCTTTCCACTTGAACACTTCTGGCAAGCTGCGTCTGACTGTAACTCGTCTTTTCCAATGCTCGCTAAGGAGCTGCGTTGCATGGAGCCTTCTTGCTGAGGTGGAAAGAATTAACAACTGCACGAAGGACAGCACAGCATGCCATCTAGGTTTGCAAGCTTAAGCTAATTCCGCCAGATGCCATATGCCGCGGACTTGGTCTGGCTGAAGTTGATTTTTTGGTTTGATTTTTCTATTTAAACGTCTGGTCTGGGAAAGTCTGTGGTGGAGACTGACTGTGAAGGTGAACCGTGGTGTTGAATTGTTAAGGTTGCGCGCAACGTCCAAGCCAAACCACTTGAAAAATTGCAAAGTGTATTACCAGAAGTGAATAAGTGCAAGCAAGCAAAACACCAGAGTGCATTTAAAGGGTTTTTTCACATTTTTGGAAACTTTAGAAATTTTGAAAATTCGTTCGTGCTGAATCCAGGAAGAATTGCAACAACCAAAAACACTGAAAAAGAAGCTAGAGTTGTGAAAATAGACAACTTCTTCAGCAGATTTATGCACAGCTGTTCTTTTGTCGGAATTATCTCTCGGTTGAGTTGCAAGCTTCAGAAAGAGAGAGTTTCAAGTGTTGTCGATGTGTATTTGTGGTGCAAAGTGGGTTGGTCCAAAAGGTTGGCCAAAAATGACCTTTTGGACGCAACAACTTGAATGGTGGTGCATCGTTGGCTAAACCCGTCAAAAGCGCAGCAACATCCACAGAACCTGAACACAAAATCTCAAACTCCAATTCCACAGCTTCCAAACTCTATGCTGTGTTGTGGTTTTGGGCGTTTTGGTAGAAAAGGGAATTTGGAGACACAAAAAGAGGGCAAGAATCTCCATCCGCCACCGCGAAGAAAAGATCCGCAATATAGTGGGTAGTAGTCAGGAAACCATACCCTACCAGAACTCCGAGAGCCTTGCTTTATCTAACTGCGGAACCGGGCATGCCAATATATTCGCAAGGTCAACATGTTGCAGCGCTCCCGACAATCGAAGGCATTGCGCAATAATGGGGTCGTAGACCTTCAGATAAGACGCCGGGAAGGTCCAGGCAAATGAAGAAGGGTGTCTGCGTCTGCGATTTGTATCAACGCGTTCGAATCATGCAGCTGGTGCGGTAAGCCATTTAACACAACTCTCAGCCAGATTGGCGCGGCATTTAACATGGAGTTTATGGTCAAGAAGGGTTTGGGATTTAGGGTTCCAGGGTTTTAGAGTTTAAGTTTTAGGGTTCTAGGTTTCGGATTTAGGGTTTGGGTTTGGTTTTTTAGGGTTCTGTAGGGTTTTAGGGTTTAAGGTTGGAGCTTTGGAAGTGACCATGTTAAACGCCACGCCTGGTCCAGATTTTACGCATGGCAGGACTGGTAAGTTTGCTTTGACGGAGTGAGAGAGGTTCCACTGACCGCGTCAAAGTGTATTTTCACGTCTCCAAGCCAACGGCCCGCGTCAGTTGAAATTGATTTTTTGTCCATAATGATTGTTCTTCTTTAAAATGTTTTATCTTCTGACGAGTGCTTCACCCAACAAGTTGTCTGCTTGGACGTTTCCCCTCAGTGTGAGTGGTGGTGTTTGTGGTGGTAGGTGGTTGTAGTGGTGACAGTAGTGGTAGTGGTGGCAGTAGTGGCAGTAGTGGTCATGATGAGGCAAGGTTTTGGGAAAGCAGCAGTAAGTTCGTTGAATTGCACTTTCGTTTTGGAAATTTCTGTGATTTCTACCGCGCTCTTGTTTTCGATGTCGTTGGAGTGTTTTGATGTGATGCCCACGCATTCCCGGTCATGTTCAACATATGGCTCCGTGTTTTCTGAACATGTAACAATTGCATAAATGAGGCACTGCAAAAATTGCAAGCTTGACATGACTTCATCCTTCCAACTTAACTTAGTTCACTCTTGCGAAACATTGCCAGCACAGTTAGGATCGTGGCAGGGCCACAGGTCTCAAAACCAATTCGTTAGGAACAGACGTTGGACGGGACTTGTCACCCTCGTGTTGAAGGCCGGTGTAAACGAAACATGTTGAATGTCAACTTGATGTTTGCGCAGCAAACGTTTGCTCGGTCATCGCATGTTTGAGGCGAAACAGCCTGTTGGGAACGAGTGGCTGTTCCCAATTGTGGCCACCGCATCTCAAGGAGCTGAGTTTTAGCTTCGTAAGTCAAAATGTTTTTCAGGACGACGCTGTCAGGAAGCTAAGGCAACAATGGAAACCCCTTGCCCATGCATCTGATATGGATTTGCGCAGGGCTGCGCGCGACCGTTTTTCCACGAGAGCCTTGTGTCAGTACCCCACTGCTAGAGGAGTGATGCCTGCAGCTGAACCTCCGGGCTTCAATGCGGTTTCGATGTCCACTGAGATGCGCTCGCCCTGGATGTGTGGATTTTGGATGACCATGCCAAGAAAATAATGTCAGGCCCCGGATGGGGGGACCGGAAGGCAGTGCGGGCAATGTGCATTGCCTCAGTGTTGTCCTGTTGCATCGGAACCTCCCAACGATTCAAAATTGGCTCTAATCAAGGACGCAGCGTCTCAGAACCGTTTGGTGCAGATGCTGCAGCGTTTTCCCCAGCGCTTGGTGTGAGTTTGTGCATTCATCAGTTTGTTTCTTTTCCGAGGACTGCTGCGCACCCCGTCACCTGCGTTTTTCATGCTGCTTTCAAGATTGCTCGGGGCTTATTTCCCTTGCGTTGACCTGACGGAGTGAGCAATTCCCGTTTGGCCAACACTCAGTTTCTGTTTCGCACTTTGTAATTGACATTCTGTCGCGACGCATGTGCTGCATCATGTACTGACGTGGACCAGCTTTAAGCAAGCGAAGACTCTGTCAGATGTGCTTTGAGGTAGTTATTCTGATCTACATATATGGCCGATACATCCACAGCGCCTATGCCACGCACCCGGACCGAAAAACATCGATGAGTTGACTTGCTGCTGTTCACCTTGCTCTCACCACCGTTTTTTCACACCCTCAAGGCCGAAAACCCTGACCATCTGGACAGTCTTAGCTTTTGTAGTTGGCATTGCAAGATGAAGGTCTCCACCTTCATCTTGTGCACGATTTTCGCTGCGCTAGATTTCTGGACGGCTGAGATCTTAGACCGACATGTTGCAAGACCATCTGCTATGCAGAAGCTTGCTTGATGGTTGCAGGTGAAGAACATTTCCGGCCGTCTTCTCGTAGGTGCGCTTTCTGTGCAGTCTGTCGGGACATCGCCTAATTGGAGAGCGAGGCTTGCGATGGTGGAATTTGGTGAAGGATGATGGCTCTTCCGAGTGGGTCCTGCGCACAACCATTGCAGTTAGCCACCAAATGGCTTTGCATATTTGTTTCTTGAGGTCTTCGAGTCGAACCCAGATGAAGGTAACTTGAATGCCACGGTCAGTTCCTTATTTCCAAACTGCAGTCACATGTGCTTCAAAGTGTCGCTGCAGTTGCATCTTGCCCCGAGTCTTGGATGCAAATTTCCAGCCAACAACACCACAGGGACGCCAACTAGAGCCCCAAAAGAAGCGATTGTCAGCCACAAATATCGAAAAAGTATGGACTTACGCCCTTCTTCTTTCGGCCAAATCGCAAAAGCACCAAGACCCTTGCAGCCACACCTGGCGATTAGGGTGATTGGTGAGTCCTTTAAGAGTATTCTAGACAATAAAGATTGAGTATGTAAAGCTCAGGTGAAACCACTGTCAGCGAAAAAGGGCCGCTGTTTCCTTTCACTTAAGCCGCCAGCCCAGGATCGGACCATCTTTTGGGGCGTTACCTACATATGGCCTTTGTCTGGAGCTCAGCTGCTGATTTGCACAGAAGTCGATGGTGTACAAAGTCCTTGTATCCGGTCTCTGAGCTCATGCAGGCTGTGGGCAGTGTTTCTTTTCATGAACATCCTGAACTTCAGTTTGGTGCCAGCCTTCAGACGTTCCTTGGTTTGGCTTTTATCGCTGTGGATGTTCAGGACTGGGTGCTTTTGAACATCATGATCTTCATCTTTGCTGGTACAAACCTGGCTGGGTGCCTTCACAGACAATGAGCCGCTCCGATTCTCCTGCATGTGACTCATTTCTTCTGCGCTTTGCACAGCACTGCCGTCCTTCAGAGACTTGCTCCTGCTCACTGTAGTACATGTGGAGTTTACAAATAAGTGGATTCTCGAGGTCCGATCTCGTCCATGGCAGTCTTTCCCTATCATATCATCTTGAGTAGCATGCCGTGTCCATATTTGCAAGTCGTGCTGCAAGCGTTGCGAGTCAGCCATTCCTCACAGGTACTGGAAGTGCTCGACAGATGCAAAGAAGCGGGCGCAGCAGTGGGTGGAGTGGTGTCCTCGGAGCAGGGCATCTGCAGATCAAGTACGTATCAAGTACGTTACTTCCTTTTTTTTTGCGCGACTTTTCCGATCCCAGGAGTCAAGGAATGAGGGCTGTCGCCGGAGCAATGGGCTTCGCCTGAGAAAAACACATGAAAAAAACAACAACTGCAGGTTTGTGAAGATAAGGTTTAAAGGAGGAGGTGGAGAACTTTTTCCGTCTTCATGGCTTCTGGGCTCGCTGGCTTCCTGTCTTACTTTGTTCTTTCCGCTCGTTTGTGGTGTTCGTGGTTTGCCGGCTTGTCCCGGCTTCTTGGCTCAGCTGCTGTCATGTAACCTCCACATCGCCATGTCTGCTCAGCAGCGGTGGTCTACAGTTGCCAAGGGCCAAGACATGTTTTTGATGCATCCGCTTTGGACCCTTCTGCCGGCCATAGTATAATCTAAAAATCCTGGATTCATTTGAATCTGCATCGCCGTGTCTGTTTCCTGCTGTAACCAGACTTCGACTTTCAAGCGTGGCAATGGCGCCCTACGATGTTCTTTGATGGACCATGGAAATGGCCGAAATCCCAGCACCGGGACCAGTAGCAGCAGCAGCAGCACTGGGCACTGGCTTCCGCCATTGGACGTTTTGCTGGCGTCGGATCACGAGTCAGGTGCAGAGCCAGGAAGAGCACCATGTCATGCCACGACCACGCAAACACTTTCGATGCTGCGCGCGTTGCACTCCCTGCAAAGGAGCCGAAGGCAGTCCAGTGACTAAGCCAGGCACTGCAGTCAGGCCGGCACAGCCCGCTTCTCCACAAGGTGGATATAGTCACTTGGCACTAGACAGCTGGTGTGCCGGCAGATCAGATATTAGTGCTTGTTGAGCTGAGGTATGGGTGCAGCGCAGTCGCTCACAGACTCCTCAATGCCGTTGAATCACACTTCGGCAGGAGGTTGTTTGCTTCATGGTTCATGATGTTGTGAGCAGATGCATTCCCAATGTGCCTGTTGTGCTACGTTTCAGTGCACGTTACACATGCTGGTGATGCTGCGTTGGAACAGGACCCTCCAGTAGTTCTAGCTTTGCAGCGCCACCAGTACCGGAGCGAATACCCAAGTTTCTCGTGCACGGGAGCTACGATACACTTCAGGCAGGGGCGCACTTGCGCTGAACATATCTGCCCATGACAGCGAGAATGTTACAAGCCTTAAGCCTTGCAGGAGACACCATCATCGATGCAAATGTTGCAACAGCCTCCTCAGACTGACAACTGATTGCATGTGTTGTTGCATGAGTTAAAGTTGCGGCATGAGTGGCCTAGCAATTTGTATTTTTCGAGATTTCGACGCTGTAGCCAAGGAGCAAGCGAACACGCCAAGCTCTTCTGAGGAAGACTGTAGACGTTCGGCAGCAGTTTGTGATTTGTAGCAGGTCGGTGCAAGGTGCGCCGCAGTCTCATGAGCTCAGTAAGGGCACGTGGAAAGCTGTAGCCAGTAAAAGCCATCTGAGGCACGAAGGCACATTAGCACGTCCCATGTCGTCTTAGGTGGGGAGCCTGCGGCGAGCTCATCTGAGCTCCTTGGCCTATTTTGGAGCCTCGAGAGATCTGAGAGATCCTGTTGAGCTCGAGAGAGCCTCAGTGTTCGCCAAGGATGGCGGCTCCGAAAAGCCATGCCCGCAGCTTGAACCGAAATCCAGAAACGAGACCCGCGAGACTGTTGGTTGGTTCTTTTTAGAAGGCACGTGTTGTGGAGGAAATAGAGCGAGTGCATTTTCTGCGAGCTCATTCGTGCATGTCTCAATTGGGGTCTGTTGCCTGTAACATTCTTTCTCAGTGGAGCAGTGAGATGTTACGCTAAGGTCGGCTGCCGCCAGCAGTCTTTATCACCGCCGACGGCATCGACTTGCAGACATTATCCGATGAGGAACTCCTTAAGATTGTGCCAAGAAATGGTGCTGGGGAGGCTGGGTATTCAGAAGAGGAGCATGAAGAGTGTCTGCAACAGGCCGCCTTGCTACAAAAGGCGGCCTTGCTACAAAGGTTGGCGTTGAGTCTATAGCATCCGGCAATTTCCTGTTCAGGTGTCGTCTTTGGGTGCTTTTCAACATCCTGATGATTGCTCCCCATGCCTGTTCTGGTTTCGGGGCATTTGTACTAAAGGGATCCGATGCGAGAAGCTTGACTGCAAGCAGAAAATGATTAGAGATTTCATGTGCAGGGTGCACAGCGAGCCTCTCGTGGATTGCAGCTGCCCCAACAGCTCACCTAAGTTCGCCAGGACATGTCAGTGTCGTGGGGCATTGCTGCTTAAAGTCAGTCACGAGCCTTTTCGTCGTGCAGTTTTGCTTGTAAGGTACTGCCATTTCAAGCATACCGGGCAGAAGGCCAAGAAGATCCGTCCCTCGTGATGTGGCTGCAAGTCGACGGATTTAGGCGGCGCTTTGTACCACAGCTGACTACGTTACAAACCATGTGTCAAACGTCAGAACGACTTCCAAAAATTGCTTGCCAGCCACGGGGGGGCGATGTATTCAGTATTGCGATCTAAGGAAATCCGTCCGTCAGCAAATGAAAATGCTCATGCAGATGACCCCATATCAGTAACAGTGAGGGTGGCCCTTCGAAGAAGTGCTCCGTAGCTAGTCTCTGGTCTTCATGGGGCCATGCGGTCCCTCGCAATTTGTGCGTGTACAGGCCCGTACAGGGAGGTCCTGAACCGAGGAACGTCAGCCAATTGTTGGGTAGGATGGGTGCAGCATCCTCCAGCCGAAATGTATCATTCGATTTCGATTACTCGGTGCAGCTGCAACATGTGGGATTGACCTCGCGCCCGAGAAGCTGCCTCAGCAAGCAGATTGGGACGAGGCCAAAAGCGCGTAGGCCGCGGACGTGTGTCGTCATGTCATTTGTTGCAGGGCGTATCTTTGCGCACTGCGCTTTGCGCACTGCGCAACGTGGAGTGAACACACTCACCCTCACCCTGGACATGCGCACCTGTGGGCCAATAGCCTGCAGCTCCGCAACTTGCAACTTTCGGTAAAATTTTTTTTGCACCTTCGGCTTGTTTGGCTTATTCCAGCTGAAGCCGAGCTTCGGAAGGCTACATTTCCGGTAAGCCGCTCTTGAGTGGCTAAATTATTTCTCAGCCACAGTAGCATCCAGGGAGGGTGCTCATGCCGAGGTTTCTTTGCTTAGTGTACGTTAGAGCCCACTTGCAGAGACCGTGAGCGTTTAACAAGAGAACAGTGTTTTAAACAATTCTATATGGGACCTCATATGTGACCCCTGCTGCCAGTGCAGCGCCGGCCCATGCGTGCCGGCACTCGCCTGATGCAAACTGACCAACTGACCTGAGCTTCCATGAATGTCGTTACGTTCTTAGAAAAGGCGTCATTTGCTGTCGTGGTGTAGAGTTCCAGCAAAGTGCACACTGTTGATGCATCGATTGCCTGAAATTGCCTGCCGATTCGTTGCTCAAGGAAGCCTGAGTTGCTCGAAGAGTTTGGAAGGGGGATTTGTGACGGTGTTGCTGGGCTTGGATTTTTTTGGGCATACAACGCAATACATGGACACTTTGACCGGCGCCGGTCCATGTGCCATGGGCTATACAGGTCACGTGGGCGGCTTAGTTTAGCGGCACCAAGAAGTAAACTCGCTCGAAGTGTTCTGGGACGTGCTTCAAACAAAGGAAAGTCCTTCTGGACCAGACGAACTTGTTCAGGATATTAGTTCTGCAGTCCCGTCTCGCCGTGTCTGGGCCGGTGGTCCTTATGAGGGTTGCGTTCAAGACCTTTCAACCACGGAGCAACATGGATGGAAACGTCGTTGCATTCCCATAGTGGGGTGAGATCGGTTTAACGTTGTGAAGCGATCCAGAAGCCCTGGTTCGAGAGTTGACAAGTGGTTTCACCAAGTGTTCAAGGCTGAAAGAGTTCAGAGAGCTTCCAACAGCATCCACATGCAGCCAACTTGCTGTGGATCACAGCAGATGATGTTTGAGGAGTTTCCACATCTTGTTGCAACGTGTATGCCTGGTTGGAGTTGCCAAACGTCGTAAAGTGCCGCATTTGTATTCTTCAATTTCTCAAAGCGCTGTGAATGTACAAGCTGGCTCGGTGGCTGTAATTTGCTGTATTTGCACGTTTCGGCTTCCACTTGCCTCAAACTACCAAGATGTAGGGAAAGAGATGGCTTAGTGTTGAACTGCTGCTCCCAATGACAACTCTGAGTTCAAGGCTGCGGCATTTGGAGAGCTCTCCGCGGGTGACTTCATGGTCGGCGAGAATGTAGAGGCGGCTCTTCAGTCGCGCCTGATATGCTTGGACACTGTTGCAGGTTGTTAAGATCTGCTAGAGTTGATATCGTGCTGGACCGGGACGCGCCGGATTGCATCTGTATTTTCTCACAGCAGGGGTCAGGCAAACAGACGAAAGAGTGTTCTCTGGTTGATTTGCACACGCCACTTCGCAGACGGAAGAGGCACCAAGACATTGACAAGGCATGTTCATATCGTGGTATGACGCAGTCGTTGATGGCATCAGTGTTTCCTGCATGTTTGTTGTAAGTTGTGATATCGTTAGCTTCGTGTTAAACTTTCCATCCGTGTTGTCTTTCGAGACGGGTTACGGCTTGTGGCAGCGCGTTCTTTTTTTGACTTCTCTGGCCGTGCTCGGGGTTGTTTCTCAGGCCATTCGAGAAAAGTTTCTGCCCAGCACGTCGGCATTCGCTCTTGGCTGCACATGACTGCACCTTCTAGGTAGGTTACCGGTGTTGTACTGGCTTCGAGCAGCGTGTCCTCGTGCTGAGCAGCGTGGGACTCGTGGGAGATTCATGTTTGGACACCTCGGGCTGCCACCTGCTTCCACCTGCAGTCGTGTGAGCAGTTCTGCAAACACCACTCGCGCTATCAGTTATGATCGGTTTTCGCACAGCCATACGACGAACAACGGCGCTGGCTTGCGTCGAAATGAAATCAGCTTTGCTTGTCGCCCAGAATCACTCATCCTGTTATGTGGATTCTTTGTTGCACGCTGGTGCAGAAAGCTTCTTCTGCCCAAGAATGATGGAGCAAGCAATGCTCGAGGATGTGAGCGCGCAGGTTGTTCACTGAATTGCGCCGTGGAAAACGGAATACACGTGCCGAACACAGATCTCAATTCACTATCAGGCGAATGACATACAAACGAGCGTCTTCGGCATTTAAGGCGGTGGAGTGCAAGATCTCATACGAATTTGGTGAACTACTGCTCAGAAGGTCGGCGCTTCGGAACAACAAAGGTAAGCGCAGCGCAACATTGAGCCGGACAGCAAGCTCATAGCACGAGCGAGAAATCAAGATCGACTGAACTTGCCTTCAGCAATGCGTGAGATAAACGGCACCAAGTTCAGGGCACATGACCTGCGCGCGAAGGTTTGGAGCAACAGTCGAGGCAGCTGGCTTCCGGCTGTAGCCCGGGCCTTTACTGCAAGGCATTTCAAAGTGCTTTCAGCGTGCTTTCAGAGTGCGCTTTCAGAGTGCTTTCAGAGGGCTTTCAGAGGGCTTTCAGAGTGCTTGTCTCAGTGGTCGAGAGTCCACGAGAGCCTGGCCCAGAGCCTGGCCCAGCTTCCTCAGGTACAAGGGGTTTATCTTCTGGCCACGACAACCGAAGGCTTTGATGTTCCACCTGGCTCCGTGCAGCTGCCAAAATCTTACTCGTACGCAGTTGTGAGTTGTGCAAGCTTTCCAGTGTCAAGTTGTTGCTGCCCCCTCATTCACAAGAGCTACAAGAGGACGGTGGCCCTAGACTGTTGAGCCTGCACAGGCAAGTCGGGAGAGAGCGGCTAGGCATTGTACTTTCCAAAAGCATCTTTTGCGGCACGTGCCACTGACCCGATCTTTGGCATCACCGAGCTTGCACTCAGGGCTGGGACTTGTATGATCTGGGATGTAGCGAGGCAAAGGAACGAAGTGCTTTTCGCTTGCGGACGATCCTTGACTTGGATTCTTCGCCGGAAAGGGGGGGGGGTGTGGGCTGGCAGTCTCGCCATATCGTGGCTGGCTTTGTGAGCAAGCATTTGGGTGCAATGGGGGTGTTCTCTTTGTCAGAGAATCAGTCAAAAGCCGCATCAGCCACAAGAGGGCATCTCGGCATCATTGTCATGGATTCTTTTCGTTCCCCCTTCAAAAAACAAGACTTGCTACAACTTGGTCGCGTTGAGCGGGGCGGAGGGCTGTCTGAACTGTGAGAGTTGCTGCTGCCAAGAGGAAAGGTACTTGAGGACAGCTTTGCCTGCCCCAAGCAGTTTCGAGATCAGTGAGATCAGTTCCCACTCCGCTGACTTCGTGAGGGTCTGCCCTTCTTCTGCCAGGTGAAGGTCATCTCCTCGGCTGGTGTAAAGTGGGCGGGCGTCTCAGTGCAACCTTGTCGGTGTCTTGACAATGGGTTTGCGGTCGTTCTTTGCTTATGCCCTGCATATTTGAAGCCCGTTTCTTGGTAGTACAGAGGCCGAAGCAACATGACAAGTGCGCAAGCATAGATCCTGGTTTTTGTGGAATCGACACAACTCCAGACTTGTGCTATGGGAAGGCATTCGAGAGCAGTGTTGCGTCCAGTTTCAGTATGGATCAGTTGGCTATCCGAGTCTCAACAAGAGAGCCCGCCGCGCGGCTGGGTGGGCTTTGGAATGTTCATGTTTTCCAGTTTCTGGCCATGAATTCTCAGTTTCTCTGGTGAGCAAGGTCATGGCCGATTCCATCTCCTCTGTCCTTCGCAAAGCAAGTGCAGAGGCGGAGCATCGGGGGGTTGAGGGACAATCGCAGGCTCAAAGAAGATTAAAACGACGTGCCTCCTTAGGAAGCTGGACCCCAAATGCTCCCGATGCTTGGACTGCAAGGGCAGTGAAGCAATGAGCAATCTAGGAGCTGCTGGAGGCTCGCTTTGCATCAGTTGGCATGAAAGGCTTACGTCCCTTCTTTAAGACGAGACCGTGGCGTCAGGTGCCCCGAGCTCATCAACTCGAAAGCTCTGCCGATGCCCCGGATATGACATCATCTGACATCATATGACACAGGACTCCGCATACTGCTCGGAATGTGATAGGCAAGAACGGCTGTGGCAGGCAGGGCATGTCTTTTCTTGTTGAGCATCCGTGCAGCCGCACGCATCCTCAGTTCTCTAGGCTGGCGAAAAGCGAAGCGTCATTCAGAAGCTTGTGTTTGTCAGGGCCGTCCAGCCTGGCCTCACGAGAGGTTGGGAGCCTAGACAGTGCCAGCGGCGTACCCCAGTCGGATTTTTCCGACGTTTTGTTGGTTTTGTGGGGGTGGGGTGGAGTGGGTGAGCTTGGGGAGGGGTGGGTGGATGGGTTCACGACATGGTGATGGTGGGGGGGCCTTTGAAGCCACTGCCATGTTCCTATGAGTGATATGCTGAGTGCTATCAACGAACCACTTTGGACGACGTCCCAAATTCACACCCACCCGCAGCTATGCCCATCGGAAGTAGTGATTGCAATATAGTGCAGAGTTCTGCTGGCAGCTGTGGCAATGATTGGGTTCGGTATTTCGAATTCGGGTGAAAGCTTGCCATTTGTTGAATCGGCCTTCCCTTGCTTGTAAGCTCGACTCTGAATGTTTCGCCAACAGCATTCTTGCATGGTCGGCGAATGACATTCGGCATCCTTAGCGTTGGATGCCACCGTTCGCGAAAGCTAGTGGAGCTAGGCGGATAATTTTTCTTTGATAGACAGCGCTTCACAGAAATGTCCCGCTTTGGGGAGGTTATTATACGTAAGGATAGAACTGCTCCTTGGGTGGGGTGGGGCGCGTGGAAACAGCCACAAGGAACAACCAGACAAGCAGCATCAGCAACAACAATGTGTGGTCGCGTGTTGTGGCGTGTGGTGGCGTGGTGTTGTGCGGAGGGGTGTGGGGTGTGGGGTGTGCTGGTGTGTGGCGGCTTGTGGTGTGTGGTGGGGTGCGGTGATGTGTGGTGTTGCACGGTGGTGTGCGGTGGCGTGGCTGGCGAGTGGGGCTTGTGGTGGTGTGTGATGGCGTGGCGGGGGAGTGTGGGGTGGAGTGGGGTGGCGTTGGGTGGAGTGGTATGCGGTGGGGTGGGGTGGTGTGGTACGTGGTGTGGGGATGTGTCGGGTGGTTTTAGGGGTTTTAGGGTTCACGGATAGGTGTTTAGGGCGGTTTCAAGAGTTCAGGGGAAGGGCTCGGGAGTGAAATAGGGGTTTAGGTGCTTTCGGGGTTTCGGGGTTTAGGGGTTGAGACGGTAAGGAATTTAGGAGTTTAAAGTTGAGGGGTTTAGGAGTTGCAAGCAGCTCACCACCACCGGGGTCACCTCAACCACTACCAATTGCAAGCAACAGCTTTCCAAAGTAAGCCCAAAACAATGACCTTTGAAGGCATTTGGGGCACGGGTTCCGGTGCATAGAACTTGCTACATCAACATGCATAGGCCTGATGTCATGCCCAGCTGAGTCAATTGTTCTCCAGGAGTCTTTGTTTCCCAGGTTTGAAGGCCTACGACACATGCTGCAAGCGTTGTGCTCAGAAGCCTGGGTGCAATGAGCACGACGAGTGGGAACCCCAGCAACCGGTAAGCTTGACTCTTTGGGTGTTCTCTTGCTTTCGCGAGACCCTGAATGTTCTGAAAAGATCGTTGTCATCACAGCTGCTCTCTCTCTCTCTCTCTCCCCCTCCCTCTCTCTCTCTCTGCATGCCCGATCAATGTGACAGCAGAAGCAGGTTGTTCTGGGAGTTCTCTGCCAAGGAATTGTGGCGGTGCAAACGTCACAAGGGCCGTGCAGTGCTGAAGCCTCAATGACTCAACAGAGGGGGAGTGCGATATGGCACCAACGGCAGTGAGCATGCCTTCTTATGCCTAACTGCCTAACTAACACTTTGTAAGCTTCGGGCTCGTTACGATCCTCGTCGCATAGTATGCAGATCGTGCGGGTCTGGTTTTGCAGCAGTATCGATCGCATCGGTAATGGCATTGACAGTTTCATGGCTTCAAGATCTTGTAGGGTTTTAGTAGGCTAGCTCTTCATGCGGCCAACACTTGCAAGAACGACGGAGAACAATTCAAGTCGATGCACATTTAAGTTTTTAAAGGCAGCCTCGAGAGATTCGAATCTCGGACGTGTTTCGTTGACTTCCGAAAGGCCAGGTGGAGACGTTTGCGGGGCCCAAGTCCATGCGAGCCTCTCAATTCGAGAGCAGACTTCTAGGATTCTACTCCGTCTACTCCTTGGGAGGGCTGGGAAGTTGAGAGTGGCCGAGCAGACTCTTCGATGAAGAGCATACTGCATACTGGGAGTGAGACCAGAAACGCGTGAACGAATTTAGAGTGAGCGCCGACTTGGGTTGCGGAGGTCTTTCCTTCTGTTGTTGGTGTGTAGATTTCACGCTCCATGCACCGAAGGTATTGACCTGCTCCGCAGCCTCCGGGACGAACTAGAGGACGGCTCAGACTTATCGTTCCCATAGATGGTTGTGATGCTGGCAGCAAAGGCGATACTACACGACGAGATGGTGCTCGAGCAGACGGCTGGGACTTAATGTGGGCTACAGTGGCGCTGCAGATTCGACATTCTGTGCCACTGCTTCCGAGCCCGTGTTTTTCGGTTTTGAAGGGGTGCTGCCTATACAAACATGTGGCTTCAGGTCAGATCCGCCTTTGAACGAGTTCGCAGACCCTTCGGGAGGCCTTAGCCAGACTCTGCTTTTCGAGTGGACAGTTTTTCTTGCTGAGCGGCCGTACGCAATCTCCATATTACTCCATCCTGACAGAGATCCGGCAAAAGGAAGGCCAAACGGAGATGGCCTGCGCGTTGGCAATACGGTGACTATTGCATACCATCTTGCAAGGGCCATGTCTGTACAGCATGGCCTGCAAGGGAACTACAACCCTTCGACATCAGCACAACTCCGTATATTGCCAGCGCTGCTGTAAGAAACGGCTTCAGAGGATTCAAGGTCTGCAGGTCTGCAAAGCGAAATGTTCAGAAATGGCTTACAGCGTATCAAGGCGTGTCAATCGCCTATCAAAGCGTCCCATCGCGAGAGCGCCCGACGAGTGCAAATCTCCAGAGGCCGCACGGCGCTCCCGAAGTTCGCTTCGAGGGGCAGAGGAATGCATGGTGGGCACAAAAACTGTGACACTATGAGACAAGAGGACAAACAAAAGGACAAGAACTCTGTGTTGAACTTGGAATGAAGTAACCTGACATGAAGGGATAAACTGCAGCCGTGCTCCAGGATGAGCTGGGAGCTTCTACGCGCCCCGCTGGAGGCATTGGCCTTGAATTGAGGGCACTAGACTAGGCCGGACTCACGAAAGCAGAGGAGTTGCAAGCACCCTTCTTCTTTCGAGACTGAAGATCGGCATGATGCGCAAATGATGCGCACATGATGCGACATGATGAGGAGCTGCTGGAGCCGTTTGGAGTTCGCCTTGGTGCAGGGGTGCTTAGTCGATCATCTCTGGTGAGTCTAAGGCACTACAAAGGAAGAGCGATCCTTGCCTGACCGCTAGCTGTAAACGCTTGCGTGTGCCGCCTCGGCCCCCGGGGCCGGCCCACGGCGCGGTGTCGCACCCGCAACGGTCCTAGAAGAGCTCAAGGGAGGGGTTTCAAGGGAGAGTTTCAAGAGGTTCCACGCAGAAGAGGCCCAGGCAGTCGGCTTGGAGGGCCAGGAACTGTTCAGGCCAGACCGTTCTAGCAAGGGGGGTCTCAGGAGGGGTCGGATTTTGGCTCCTCGGCCAGGTGTCAGGGGGGTTGGAGTTGGGAAGGGGGGGAAGGACCGGGGGAAGGAGACCAGATCCTGGTCTGCTTGTTGGCTGGAAGCCGAGGCGAACATAAGGTCTAATTGTTGACATGTCTTGCTTGTTCTTTAGCTGGTAGCTCATATCGAGTTCACATGGATTGACAAGGTGAAGGACCATTTCTTGGAGCACCTATGTCATCAGCATGGACAGCCAGAGGACGGCGAATCTCCATCACACAAACCAGTCCGGTACAGCATTGACTGAATGCGCCCGATTACCCCGCAGCCGCCCATATCATTCCTGTTCCCATAGCCGCATCCTCGAAGCTTGCAATGCGCCCCCCCCACCCCTTCTTCCCGCCCTTTGAGGAACGAGTCACTTGCAGTAGAAGTTGCCGCCCTTCGCTTCCCGCCTTTCCCTGCCTTCCCGCCTTTGCCGCCCTTCCCGTTCTTCGCGCCCTTCCCGGGCGCTTCCCCCGTTGCCGCCTGCCCTTCCCTGCCCTTCCTGCCCACACAGTGTTTACTTTGTTTCGCCCTGGGGTGGACTGGGCAGGTCTTGGCAAGAAGCAGCATCGTGTGTTGTGCACAGTGATCTCTGATAGATGCGCGTCGTCCTGGTTGCTCCAGCTGGGCATCCAGGGGATTCTAGACAACAGCCAAGAGAGCGAGACTGGTACTGCGGCTACCCAAAACAGCTTCCAAGCGTGGCCCGCCAGACCATTGTCAGAACTGCAGCATCTGGGGGGGCGGCATGGTACTGCACGTGGGAGTGGCACGCAGGAGTGGCACGCAGGAGTGGCACGCAGGAGTGGCACGCGAGGAGTGGCACGCGAGGAATGTCACTGAGGGATGGCGCAGTCGGTGAGGAGTGGTACCACTAGCAGTCGGGGTACCCAGTACAACGACGATCAGTAGTGGCACACGGCTGCTCGTACCATTTCCGTACAGGATCCGTATAGTGGCACGAGATTCTGGGAAGCTGCAGGACCGGACAATCGATGTTGATGGGATTTTGGCTTTGAGCCACGCCGTCCTCCAGGTCCTTGGACAAGATGGGGGGGGGGCTTGGCATGAAGCTGGACACTTCGGAATGGCTTTGTTTGCTCGCAGGATCGGTATCGATCTTGGTTTCCGGACGTATTGCCCGTGCCCATCTGAGCTGCGTATTGCATGCGGCATGCCTGCAGCATGCTTCCACTTCCACTAGCCTTCCAATCTGGCCCCAGAAGTGAGGTCTCCACAGCAAGCTTCGTGAAGCAAAACAAACGGCCTCTGGAAGAGGCACACCGTACTTGGAATATCATCGACTTGGTGCTTGTACTGCAGAGGTTTATGCAATTGGCAAAAAACTCGGTCAGGGCCTTGTGATTGGGGCAGTGACAGTTGCAGCTTGGTGAGAGACTTCCCCCCTCACACTCCAACTCTTGGCATCAGACATGAACAGATTTTCAAGGTGGCAGCTGGCAGCGGCACTTGCAATTCATAGTACCTGCATGAGCTGCACTCCTTTGCCCTGACCTGCTGGAGCAAATCCAAGAGCGGATTGACGTTTCGTAGGGCAGGAAGGTATGGTCTTGAAAAGTAATGAGACCGGCTGAAACTGCAACCCGTGCTGTACGTTGCAGGGCTCGATTGAGCCTGAGCCCAGGTGAGGGAAGCTTCGGCACTGTTTACGAAGTGGACCACAAGGCGAGGGACGCTGTGCTGGGTGCCCTGAGCTTTTGGTTTTGCGGAGGTTACCCCCAAGTTCAAGATCTGGGGATTGCGGTTTTGACATCTCAGGTATAGGGTTTGCAGGTTTGGGGCATTTTTGGGGCTCTGGGCCTGGGGCTTTTCAGGTTACGGGCTTATACATTCTGTAGGACTTTTCGGGTTTTTTCGGGCTTTGAGGGTTATGGGGTTGATAAGATTTATGAAGCTTATAGTCTTATAGTGTTTAAAGGTTCATTGTCGGCCTTCTAGGGTTGGCTTTAGGGGTGTTGTTTTCGGGTTTAATGCTGTCAGCCACCACAGAAGGTTTCTTGCACTTGTCATTGAACTCCCTGTACTTGCTGTTACTCGTCAACACCTTGATGTTTACCCTGATGGGTCATGGCTTCGTCGTGATCATCGCTGACGTTTGCTGTGCAGAGTGACATGTTATGCTGAATAATGTGGCAGGCGTGGCATTTCCCGTCCTAGCACAGCAGACATGGCTTGCTTTTTCATCGTTGTTTTTTGACTGATCAGCGGTCCTGTTCATCCTTCCGATTTTGGTTGGGCGAGGGGGATTAATAGCGTTCCTTCAAATGCACAATGTTGGGTTGAGGTGCAGGGGGGTTAACTGCGTTCCTTTGAAAGCAAAACAGCGCAGTCCTTTCTGCGGGCCGACGAGTCGGTTTCGCTGCAACGACAAGTACTGTTACAAGTCCTTACATGTCGCGCTGACTGGAAGAGTTGGACAGAGGCGCAGTTCGAGAACGTACTTGGTCACTTGCGGCTGGCAGGGCATCTAGACGAAGAAACCAGTGCCGTTCTTCTATCGGGACGAAGGCCTTGATGCCGGAGTCAAAGCAAAAAAGACTTCCACATTCCGGTGCTGATACTTCAGCTCCCACCGCATACGACTCGGTCCATGAACGGATCTGAGCAACTCAAGGTGAGCGACCCCAGGGCGTCTTGGGTCTTGCGCAAACGCCCCAGGCGGTAATGATTTGCCAGAAAGCAACCATGCAACATAGCACCAAAGCAAGGACTGCGCCATCTTCCAACACCTGTTTCAGGTTGAGTGAACTGGTCAGGTTCCAGGCTTTAGGTATTTTCGGGCGGTGTCCAAAGCAGGAAAAACAACCACCAACCCTCAACCTGAACCCTAAACCAGTCTCATGCTTCTCACATCCATACCCTGCATGCTGAACCTAGCTGGAGGTTCTTGAGGGTTGAGGGTTGAAGTTCATGGTTTCTTAGATGTCGCGTTTATGATAGATTGAGGGTTTGAGGTTGTTTTGACCCTTTAGATGATGGACCGTAGAGGGTGGTGGAGAATACAGAACACCCTGCATGGAACGGCTGGTGCTGTGACTGCAGTTGTCTGGAGAACGTCGTGTTTGCAAGAAGATCTGGAAGACCAAGCAGGGATTCCCAGTGGTGCGAAGCTTTTGGCCGTTTCAATAGAGATGGTCGGTATCAAGGCGGCCGAACCCAGGTCTGACATGACCAGTCAACAGATACTGCAAGAAATCGGCAACATGGCGATGCTGGACCACCCAAACGCGCGAAGCTTGGGCGTGCCGCTTGGGTCATAGGGCTTGGGAATGAACATGGTAAGAGAAGTGTGCTGAGGTCATCAAAGTCTTTGAATATTTCGATGCACCCAACTTTGTCCGGACCTAGGCTGTTGCTGTAGGGAAAGCATGGCCGAAGGCTGTTGTCGGATCTCTGGTGTTTTGCGAGCGAAGGTCAGTCAAATCATGGAACCTTGCTACGGCGGCGAGCTGCAAGACAAGGACAGCATGGTGAAGAAACATGAACCAACAAAACCACGTGGCACGGGAGTGCAGTGAGTTCATGCAAGGTCTTGTTGCTTACATCCTCGCTTATACCTCCTCACAGGCTGTAAGGAAGGTTCTGTCTGGCCTCCTCTTTTGCCCTGAATGCTATCTATGTCATTTGGTTGCTAAACCTAGACGTGTTGTCAGGGCTGACACACCCCAAGGGCCTAACTCTGAAAGGGCCCTAGCTCCTAAACGGCGCACAGTAGCCGGCAAATCACAAGACCTGGAGGAAGCACAAATGATGGAGCGACATTCAAATACATACTGTACATAAATGTACATAAGCTTCCAGATGATGTGAGTCCGATGCGATAAATCCAACAAAAAAAACCCGACCTCACCAAGGTTCCGATGTGACAAACCTAACAAAAGAACTCCCCAATCTGAAGGAAAAATTAGGTCTAGTTGCCTGCTTTTGGAGTGCCGTGTCTTGGAGTGGAGTGGTACGCGCGCCGGGATGGATACCTCGGGTGATGTACATGATACACTTGAGTGATCCGTGATCTGCTGAAGTTGACGCTGTCCAGTGTGAATTGAGAGGTATTCAGGCAGGCACGCATTATCCTGCCATGTGCAACAGGTCAATGTACTTCGAAAGACTGGCAAGGCCGATCGGCCTAAAAACCACCGAGCCTGTGTCAGCACCACTGAGCAATGCTGGCATTCGCTGACTCTTGTTTGACAGGCACCCTACGACGAGGCATTTGTGTGTGATGTGATGAAGCAGACTCTACGTGTCCACAGGTTGCAACATAAGAACTTGTCGTCCGGTGTTGCAACCAGGTGAATTGCAAGCAAAAATTGTGGCGCCAAGCTCTTTAACACGTACAGCTAGCGCTTGCACGCCAGTTTCAGAGGTTTGCCCAGGTGACTCCAGGCTTCAGCCATCAGCCATTTTCAGCCAGCAGCTCACGGGGCAGGCCAGAACCAGGCCGCAAAAGGCAGGGGGTCCAAACTCCGGGAAGGCACTGGATCCGAAGCGCTGGAAACCCGCCTCCTTCATTGGCTTTAGCTCCGGACAGTGAACGCAGAAGGGACCCCCCCACCCCCCTCCCGTGAGTTTCGCGCCAGCTGTGTCCCAAGCTTGCTGTGCCCAGGCTTTGGCTTTCATGCACAAGAAGCCCTTCTTGCACAAGGTGGACTGTGCGCTTCTTTCTGCACGCGTCACTCGCGAGATTCACGGCCCTCGGCCAGGATTTGAAGCCTCAGAACATCATGCTGGTGGACCAGGTGGGCTTCAACAAGAGAGCACGTGGCTGGCACACAGCATACCGCTGCTTGCCCTCACAACAGAATGTTAGCATCATGCACGCGCGGCACACAGGTGTATGCTTTCTGTTTTGTATGTCCTGCCAGGACAGTTCCTCCATCAAAGTCATCGACTTCGGCTTGGCAGAACTCTTCAACCCGAAGCAGAAGTGAGAATCCCGATGCACTCGCTGGCTTAGTAGGCTGAGGATGCGATGGCGCCGGTTAGTCGAAAAATGTCGAAAACCTGAGGTTTGCAAACTTCATCGGTGGCACAAGGCTGTACATGGCCCCCGAGGCTAAGCTGCCCGGTTCTTGCACTGAGATCCAGAAACGGCCCAACGGCCTGTCAGTTGTCAATGTAGCAGGTCTTCCGCCAGCAAATGACGGTGAAGACGGACATCTGGAGCGCCGGATGCTTGGCACTGCATGGGTCTGTGTCTTGCTTGTGTGCGCTGAGCTCAGGCGGGTGTTATTCTGTACAACCTGCTAACGGGCGACTTTCCTTTCCTGGCTCAATGGCCGCAACCTCATATACCATTGTGTACTGGCTTTCTAAATTCCAAATCTTTTCAATCTGATAAATCTTGTAGGGTTACGGCCGAGAAACATGTGCTGGCCCAGGCCTCCGCCGAAGGGCAAGGATGAAGCCTGGTGCGCCCAATTTTTTGGCAACTCTTCTGACACATAAACGCTTCGCGTGGACCGCCTGGGCCTAAGGTCCGCGAGTTGAGGGAGGGAAAACGTCGTAGGTCGTAGGGGAAGCCGAAAGAGAAGGGACCGTGTGGGGTGTTTCGGTCCTGGGCCAGGCCGGACTTCAGTCCAGCGCGTATTGGAACCTCTGAACGCCGTCGCTTGGTGCTTCGTGCTCGTGCTCTTTAGCGCAGGTGGGAAGAACAAACCATCCAAAAGATCAGGAATGAAGCCCCAGTCAGGCTGGAGTGGGCTGGTCAGCATATCTGATTGCTGGTGCGTGCTTGCAACATGAAAACTTTGGGAGGTAAATAGAGTCATGTGGCACCAACTGTACGGCAGACACGAGAAGTATGTCCCAAGACCCTCTGACACCATGTCCCCAAACCCTGAACTTAAACTCTACGGTCCCTACAGGCAGTCACAGGTTAGTGTAGTCACCAGCGATCTTCTAAACATTTCAAAAGCCGGCCAACCAGAGATTGTTCGCAACTGACTTCCGTGCAGAGTTCGGTTCACAACCCTGGCATGCTGCGGCAGCAATCGTTGCTTCGACCGGAAGTTTTACATGTAAGTGCATCCAGGAAAGGCCACCCGGTACAGTGCATTGAGTCGTCCGGCGTTCTCGCTAGAGCGTGACCCTTGCGATGATAATCGGCGCCGTTCTGTCGAAGCTTTGGAAGAAAACTGGCAATGTGCAAGGAGTTGCTGGAGTGATCATGGGCTCTTCATGAGCAGAGCTATTCATCCACGGGTGGAAAGAAGGAAGCCGACAGAAAGTTGTATTCGAGAAGGTTCTGTGTCGCAACATCCGAAATACAATGGCTGGGCCCTGGCCGTGGGTGTGCGGTGCTCCAAGCTGCGACACGTGTGGGGCCCTTGTCCGTTCTGCCATGGACCGGGGTGTGGAGCACTCACGTTTGGTGCGGCTCAGCGTCCGTCGCGCTATATATTTATGTTCCTGGAGATCGCCATGCTTGAAGTATTGCACACTGACAACGAGGCCGCGGCGCCCTCAACAAGAGATATGATGCGGCTATGCATCGTGGCCTTTTTGGTTTTGACCCTTCGGTTTCCCACAATTTCGAATGCAAAGCAAGCTTGTTAGATTCCCTTCGTCAGGCCTGGGAATGGTTCATGTCGCCACTTGTACAACTCTCAAAGGTCCACTGATGTGCTTCGGGGCATCGCCCAAAAAAAGTATATGGCTTCGCTTCGCTGCATCGAGGGAGTGCTATTTGCTCCTGATGTCTACAACGAACTATTTTCGGAGTTTTCCCTGTATGCCGCCCAAAACCTTAGTTCACTCAGCCAGAATCCTGAAGCCTTTGGTCCTTTGCATGAACAGTTTCTCTGAAGTGAGATGACTGAATGTCGTCATTGTGTTGTGGTAGAAGTACTGGCAGTGGGTCTTCCTTATCGCTGGAGTGGCTGTTAGCGCCGGGGTCGATGTGAGTGATTGATGCAGGCACCCGCTGCTGAGCAAATGGTCTGCGTGCTGCGTAAACCTCAGTGCCACAGCTGTGTCGCTCCGCGCTTTCACCACGTGCTGTGGTCTGTTAGGCTTTGATGCTGACTTTTCTTAGCTCAGCTGAGAAATGACATGCTTGCCACAACATGCCGAGTTAAACTTAGCCAAGCACATGCAAAGAGGCGAGTGCTCCAACTGCACCATATTGTGTCACAAGAAAGCCTTCACAGAACCTAACACTAGAAAGATGTTTCAGGACAAGTTTATGATTGGCGAAACGCCGAAGCTGCAAAGACGAACAAAGACAAGACGAATGCGATTCCGAGAGCTTTGATGGCCGCCATGTTCCAGGGCCCTGCTCCAGCCCGCACTGTGTCCAGATCACGTGAAAGAGATCAAGAGTACACCCGACTCTCTGTTGCATAATCATGGTTTGCCTCGACCCTACTTTTGTTCAGCGCCAGTTTAAGCAAGTTCATGCTGGGAGTTCATGCTGGGAATGCTTTTGTTGGCTCGGAGGAGTGAATGGTGACGACGAGGCTGTAGATGCGGATGACTGCACGAATGGAGATTGCGGCCACTTGAGTGGGTTTAAAGCCTGTGCATGCTTCTTGCGTTCAGTCTCCTCCTTTGCTTGGAGTCTTAGGTATGACGAGCGTCCAGCGTGAAAAGTGGAAATATGTCGGTACGGGAAAGGGAACTTACAAGAGGCCATACGACCAGTGAGTGCGTGCTGACCAGTAGCCAAGTAGCGCTCTTAGACTTAGAGGCTGCCATGCCACACTTCTAGAATTTTCCCGTGCGCCAGGAACAGCCAAATGCTTTTCGTTGGAGATGGCCACGGCAACTATGAGAAGGAGCAGGTGACGAGTCACGCGTGCTCCAGCTGAACAAGTTTTGCTGCACAGTCTCGGCAAGGCTCAGCCGGCCCCAGCCACTTCTTAATCACCGTTTGCTGAGGGGATCTTGCTGGACAGTTCTTGGCATGACTCTGCTCCTACTCGCAATAGTCGCGATTGCGATGGGCTACTTGATCGGAGCATTCTTCATCCGCAGGCGGGCTTGGCAGAATAAGCTCGTTGCAGAGACCTTTGCAGCGCAAGCTATGCTCGCTTGACAGGACCCCCTTTCACGCCGACGTGATGTACAGTTGCCGTGGCGACATGTCGCAGTGGCTGGTAGAAGAGCGTGACTGGTGCTGCTCGGACAAAGGGATCGGCTGCTGGGCGACCACACCTCCTCCCACCTTCGATTGCACCTCAGATGCCGATAGCCATACGGTCCCGACACTGCTTCGAACCCTGAAGCAGCCTTCTTTCATGAGCCCATCGTCAAAAACTCTACGTTCGATCCCCAAGAGCGCTGTCTGTGCAGCTATGCGGGTCAGACTTGTGTACTGTGCATCTTGCGTCCGTGCCAGTGTCTATCGCCCTGCAATTGCTGTGAAGACATCTAGCGTTCATGAGCGCAGCTAGGCACGATAAAGAAACACGATAAAGAAATTCTTCCGTCCAGTGGGTAGGCTTCTGATTTTGGGGTCGTTGCGGGTGCAATGTTGTACTTGCCTGATGCTTGCAAAGGGACAAGATTATTGAGGGACAGTGGAAGGCCAACTTGAACATCGTAGAGTGACTAAAATTGAGTGTGCCAATTTGGAATGCGATGATGTACAAGTATGCCATACTTGCTTCGTTGTTCGCCACTGTTGATGTCCTGATGCTTTGGGAGCTCAAATTGACGGATGTCCAGTTTTGCTGGTGCCGTGTTCTGGTTTGTATTGTATGCCTGGGCTTTCTTCTTGATGCCGGCTCCTGATTTTGGCCCAGCGCCACTAGTAGTTAGGTTGGCAGTGAAGTGTAAGTAGTACTTACATGTACAGATTTTCTGGCAGCTGGAGAGGTCATTTCGTTTCGGGGGCTTCGCGGTCAGAAGTGCACAACGCAGGCGTACAACGACAGCATCCCAGGAGAACAAACAAACCAAAAAGTTTCTTTTTTGTTGGAATTTTGCTTGAATGGTGTGTTGGTTTTGGTTTCCGAGTCTTGTTCCCCACCCTCGGTGAGGAGTTGTGAGATGTTAAGCGAAACTCTTCTCCTCGCCCGGTCTACTCCTCACCCATCACCTGTACCCCACCCCAGAGTATGTTCGGAGAGTCCCTGGAGTGCCCATCCCCAGAGTATCCTTCAGAGTTTCAAAGTATCCCCAAAGAGTCCCGAAAATGCCTGGAGTGCCCAACAACCCAGATTTTCTGGAGTGCACAGCCCCAGAGTATCCCCAAGAGTCCCTAGGGTGCCCAATCCAGAGTATCTTCCAGAGAATCCCTACCCCATACGACGGCCAGCAAATTCCAAATCTGCAGGGTGAGCATGTTCGAAGTATCATTGTAAATGCTTGCGTGCGCCGCCTTGGCAGCCGGGCTGGGCCAGTGCGAGAGATGGCAGGGGGGTTCTAGGGGGCCCCAAAGAAAGTGTCCCAAGGGGAGGGTCCTTGCCTGGTCCCCACGTTTCGTGTTTGGCTTGGATTAAAGCTTATTGTTGTTTACAGCGCATTGCTAAAGCTACGCACCAGAATCGCACACATGCGGCGCAACGGTGCAAGAAGCAGCGGCTCTGGAAGGGTTCCCACAACGTTGCTCAAAGGAGAGCTCCTGGTGCTTCAATCAAAGCGTCTCTCGATGCTGCTCTTGCAGATATGTGAGTGTCTGCTATCTTGACTCATCTTGACGTTGCATTGTCTCTGTTTTGAAGCGCTACGAATGCGTCGAGCCAGGTTTGGGCCCTTGCAGAAAGTATGCAAAGAGCTAAGAACACCAAGCAATGGAGACTTTTCGGCAGAACTCCGGCGACCTCGCAAAAAAGAGAGCACGATTTCTTGGGTTTGAGTCCTGCGGATCGGAACGCCTCAGGGAGCGAGATTTCTGTTGCCCCGGTAAAAGCGACGGTGGGATGTGCAAGAAGCAGCATCACACAAGCCACCGAGCAAGAAGGCGAGGCACTTGCAACCCGACATGTTTATGCGTGCGGGCACGACAACAGCAGGACACTTGCACATGCGGCTTGGGTGGAGAGTTTCTCGCGTCGTGGACATGCGGGTGTGGGAGCGGCCTTTCAGGCAGCTAGGCCACGCAATGATTGTCCGTACGCACCAAGGCAAAATCGACCAAGACCGATGGGATGTTTCATGGTCCGTGCCAAAGAAGCACTTCTGCTGTAGCTTTGTGGACATCGGCTGTCAGAAGTTCGACTGCCAGCTGCAGCTTCAAACGTGGAGGAGTTCTTGGCCATTGGAGAAGACCCTTGGACTTTTTCCGGGACCGAACTACCAGCAAAATCTGCATGACTGCTTCCCACAATCGAGGCTTAGTAGACACGACTTCGTCCAAGCTACGGTTTTGTTTTTTTCCCACGCGACAACTGGGATTATTAGATTTCAGACAGAAGTGGCACGCATCCTCAGCACAAGAGGCGGGCAATTGCAAGCGACCAGGGATTCTCAGACGGGCAATGGTTCCCAAAAATGTTGCGTTAACAAGCATGTAATATTGAGGCTCAGGCGCGCAACTGCACAGCCAGTTCGGCAACTGTACCGGAATGCCGTTGCAGCAAGCAGGGCAGGGGCAGTTGTACCGGAATGTTGCCTTAGCAAGAGGATGATGCATGCAGCACCGGAATGTTGCCTGAATACTCAGGCCAGGGAGGTTCACGCGGGTAAATGTATCGTACTGATGCCTTAACAGCCTTAACAGGCAGGGCAGGGAAGCTCTGGCGGGCAGCTGTGCCGGAACATAGCCTCAATAGGCAGCAAGGCTACTGCAAGGCGGGGGGCAATTGTACCGAAATGCTGGATAAGCCCTGAAAAAGCAGACCTGGGACGGACGGTGCCGGAATGCGAACCCTTGCAAATGGGTTTAGGGATACGGTGGCAGGTTCGAAGTGGTAGTTTGTTTGACGCCTCATCAGCACATCTCCTGTGCAGCCGGAAACGTGGCAAGCGATGTTGGGAATCTGTACAAAAGGCAAGTTTCTGGTACTAGTACCCGAGCCCTCCAGTCTAGACTTTTGCTGAGGAGGCAGTTCTGCTGCCACGAAGAAAAGCTTGGATGCGACACCTGCGACGCCTCTTGCGGTGCAAGCGGCCGGAAACAGGGTTGCAAGAAGGGCTTGACGTGATACCTCAGGTTGGGAACCTTGCGTGCAGATTGGCCTCGTTAATCTAGATCCTGCTGCTGACGTATTATGCCAACACCTGGCCCCTCCCCCCCAATGAGTGGATGTGAGTGGACCGTGCCCAATCATGTCGAGTTGACAGTTTGAGCTGGCCTGGTGTAGAGATCCGAGGACTGCTTCGTGCGAAGACCGCGCGGCTGACCTGTATGCAAACGCAGAGGCCTTCATGTCTGTTGTTTCATAATGTTACATAACTAGGGTTCAATGCAGCCGGGCCGCACCTGGCTACAAGCAAGTGCAGGTCGGAAACTGCAGTCGTGCCCATGAAGAAGTTCTGCAAGTTTGTCCAGCGTGCTCAAAGTGCCGCATCCAAGATCTGAGCTGCTATCTCCATGACCACCATGGCCACCATGGCCACCATAGCCATGATGGCCATCATGGACACCATGGCCACTACGGTCACCATGTGGTCAAACCAGAGCCGGCAAGAAAGACCCCTGAGAAAAGGCAGTTCCAGCATCTCAGGAAGGCGCATGTCGTCAAACCCGAAGTGAAGACAGTGCAGACAGTGGTTACGGCTGAAACCGTGTGCTCCAAGCCCGCTGAAGTTGGCTTCATGTGGGCTCATCACAATGGAGTGTGGCGGCCACCTGCAAAAATCGACCTTGCTGCAGTAGTGTTTACTTCATGAGGTTTCATTTTGGTCGAGGATATTGGTGGCTAGGACAGTTCTGCATCTTGGCTAAGGCGCAGCAAGGTTCCTTCTTCGTCCGGGCCACCTGAGATTGCCGCTGGCCCTGGCTTCATGTGGCACCAATCGGGCAATGGCTGGCAGCAGGCGCGAGCACCGTTCAGTCTCAGCGGGCTTTACATTTGCAGATAGCACGGGAGACAACGGTTCACTCACATTTTGCTGGGTCTCCAATGAATGTTGAAGGTATGTGTTCCGCATGCGGGCGCTTCGTCACCACCGACAAGTCCGGCTGGCACTGGCTTCATGTGGCAGCAGATCTCGGGTCCAGATGGAGACTTGGAGAGTTTTTTTTTGTGCACCACAGACTAGGAAGTGATCTCAGTGTTCACTGCAGTATCCCATAGCAGCAGTTTGCCACTTGAGCCCCTGCGATTGTGGCCATTTCGTTGAACCGCACAGCCCGAAGTGATTGAGCTGCTCTCTTGAGACCACAACAATTGAAGGTGTCATTTCAGGCCTTATGTTCAGTCAGTAGTTATGGGCACCATACTCAGGCCCAACATGAACGAAGCTCCGCCGAAGCTCCCTCAACTATGCCCTTCCTATATGATCTTGCCAGCTGCGAGTTTTCACTGTGCACTGGTTTCAGGCAAGATGTGGACACAAGTTCCGCTGAGAGTCAAAGATTTGCAAGGCATTTCATTCCCGGAGCATGCAGAGTCTCGGATGCACAGCTTACCGATGCTCCACGACAGTTTTTTTGTCGGCAAACTCCCCACTTTGCCAGGGACCCGTAGGGACTTGTGTGGACACCAAGGCTGGTGTAGGCTACATGTACCACCTGTCCTCTGATGGCTGGTTGCAGGCCACGACTTTTTTGACAAATAGCTCCCAAATGCGCAGTCCCTTGGTCTCCTGCAAGAGGTGCCGGCACCGGAAAGCCTGAGTCGTCCGCAGCGTCCGTGCGAGCGTCGTGCTGGCCTGGGAATGCGATGGGTGTACACCGCCAGCGACCACGGGAGCGCAGCCTGACTGCGAGACGCACATGCTGCCCTAGAACGGTTCTTCTTCTCTCTTTCGGATCTCTTTCTGAGGCATGGCAGCAGCAGCCGGTACCCAAGTGGCGTCCTGGCAGCTTCAATCCGCAACCCTCCGTGCCTGCCGGGCCAGGCCAGGATACTTGTTCTCCATGCCTTCCCCGAATGCTCTAAATGCTTTAAAGTTTTAAAGCTGCACAAATCTTTCGTGGCAAAAACTAAACAAACTGAAGTGCTCCGCCATCGCTTGATGGTTGTGGTGATGCCAGATGCACTTTGACAGTCTGCCTTAGATGCCTTCAGGCTTCATGTGGAGCTATGAGCCTGAAGATCATGGGTGGACGCAGATTTGCATTCCAGGACGGGCAGGGCCTCCAGCTGCACTAGCGCAAAAACACGCAACAATTGTGTGGCCAACCAGGCTTCGGGCTTTGAATGGCTTTGAGCTTTGAGCTTTGAGCTGTTGCGAGGATGGCAGCAGAGCATGGGCGAGCCTCCCAGTTTGCGGGCTGGATTGGGCTTCATGTGGGGCAAGGCATGCGGGCAGTCGGCCAATCATTCAGTGCTTTGTGCGGTGCCGAAGTCTGAGTGCCTGTTGCAGGGTCCCGATGGTTCCTGGAAGCAGGCACGCTGTAGGTGAGCTGTACCCATACTGAACCCATGGTCAGAGAGTCCTGGGTCTGTGATGACCTGAAGCCCACTCAAGCCCCAGAGGAGCCCCGGAGGCCTCTTGGGATCCTCCAGAGCGTTCCCTTTCAAACCTCTGGGTCGCTGAATTTCCACCCCCTATCGTTAGGCGAACCAAGCAAACCTTTCAAAGTCGCAGGTCTACATCTTGTCCGACTCTTTTATTTGGAAGCCCCCGCAGAGCGATGCTGTTACTCATGAGTCATTGGATATCGCAACTTCTACATTAACAGCAAAACTGAAACTGGAGAAGTCGACTGCAGAGTGTTTTCTGCGACCGTAAGATATGTAATTTGACGCTACGTGGCCCGCCTCGGCCTGGGCGCGGGTGTAAAGCCTGTTGCAACACGCAGGGATGCGGGCTCATGTGGGAGTGATAAGACAAGAAACTCCACATGTGGGAGTGGTAAAGAAGGAGGGGCTGGGGTTGAAGGGCGGGGTAGGGGTCAGGGGTCGGCATAAGGGCAGGTGTTGGGAAGGGGATTAAAGGTGTGGTATGCCTTATTCTTCCAAACACCTACAGATCCAACCTCGGTGGAGTACACGTAGAATTCAAGCATCACGCTGACTGAATAGTTGAGATTCGATATGAAGGCAGTGCGAACCATGCACAGTTTCAGTGAGACCTCCGAGAAGTGCCATATGTTGTTCGGATAACAGTTGCTACTACAAGCCGGCAAGACTGCAGCAATACTCACAAGCTTGGGGTTAGGGAGTACTTCTACCCCTTTATAGTTCTGTTGGGATTCTCGTGGACTGGGCTCCTCGGCTCTCTTTGCGCTTGAGCTGGGTTGCTGGCTCTTTGAATCTTGTCAGCGCGAAGCTGCCTGATGCAGGCGACCGTTCCTCGTAGCTTTCGGGCTAGCTGCGCGAAGAAGCCGCCCATGGCCGGCTTTGTCCCAGCAGGCACCATTTGCGATGTGTTTGTGCATGCGGTTTCAAGTGTTTAGTCTTAAGTCTCGAGGCCTCTAATTCTGTGAGCAGTCGGTTGAAACTTGTGTTCTCATGAGGCAAAGGCTTCATGTGGAAGTGCGTGATGGAGCACCAGTTGGCTGTGTGGACACAGGTTCACCGGGACTGGACAGGCGATAGAGCAGACGCTCCTCCCCACGAGCCTCCTGGGAATGGCCTTATGTGGATCTTTCGGGATGGAGGCTGGCAGCAGCGGCCCATCCCCGGCTGGACGTCCCGTGACGCGCCCAGCCTTCCTGCTGGCGACGGGCTAATGTGGAATCGTGCCCTGGCATGCCCTGGCAAGTGCTCCGTAGAAAGGGGCCTTTGTTTGTGACTGTCATGTCCTGCATCCATTCTTGCCGAAGTGTGTGTCTTTTGACATCAAACGCTTGGTGTTCATGCGCTTGCCGTGTCTTGGCTGTTGCCTCTGACTGCTAAGGAGTGTCGTTGGATGGACAGCAGGTGTGGCGCCAGGATATCATACCTGATTGGGATGTGGACACAGCTGCGCACCCCCCATCGGAGCCAGCTGGTGAAGGTTTCCTGTGGCAGTATGTTGACAAGGGTGGGCAGAAGGAATGGACCCAGGAAGAGATCAGAGACTGGTATGCCGACAGCGCGAACCACCCACCCAGAGAGTATGCAGGCACTGGAGAGATGTGGAAGTTTGTTTCGCACCAGGGTGCCCCAGGACTTTGGGAGCAGGTTTCCATACCGGACTTCCGCACACTTGATCAGTTCAATCCACCCACTCCTCCTGCTGGAAATGGCTTCATGTGGCACTTCGATGAGCAGACAGGGCGATGGAATCAGCTGAGAATAGCTGGGTGGATCAACGTTCCCTGGCGCCAAGTGAGCAGAAAGATTTTGGCATGTCGACTGGCATGCAGCATGCATGGTAAGGACAACCCTGCGCTGTTCTAAGGCGACTGAAGCTCATCCGCCGCAGGTCCCGGCCGGCGTAGGCTACATGTGGAAGTGGCAGAAGGAAAACGGCGAGAAGCACTGGCGCCAAGTCAAGCTGACCCTGTCGGACTTGACCAATCCGCATCGGCTTCCCAGCGAGCCCGGGTCCAAAGCTGGGAGCTGTCATGGTTTGAGTGTTTGAGTGTTCGAGTGTTTGAGTGTTTGAGTGCTGCCATTTGCCTGCCCACCGTTCTTGCCATGTACTCGCCAACTGTACTCGCAGACTTGTGTTTGTGGACCAAGGCCAGCAGGCGAGGGATTCAAGTGGGTGTACCAGGAGTCGGGCCAGCCACACTGGGAACAAAGACTCATTGCGCAGCCAGGTTGCACCGGCTTCTTATGCTCACTTCGCTTTTGGTGACAATTTGTTTGTCGGCGGCGTGGTCCCCTTTACAAGCGATCTGCTCAAGATGCCCCAAAGTGCGCTCTTCCCAGCACTTGTACAGCTCAGGGGACTTGACCTCGCCACCTGCTGTCGGTTGAATGCTTGCAAATGCTTGTAGCCTGGATCTTTTCAGGCGTGTTAGACCAGAACTTGTTTTCTTGCAGTTCCCCTTTCAGAAGACAACAGGAATGCCGTAAAATACGTAGAATCCGACTGAGCGTCGATGTGCAGTCGAATTACAAAGATTTGCGATCCGACATCGGCGCAGTGTCTGTAGAATTTGATGCCGCAGCAGGTCGTCGAATCGATGACCTGACGTGCCATGTATGCGTGGGATAATAGCCAAGACAGCAGCAGAAAGCCTTTGCTTGGTGAAGAGCCACCTCGATGCCAGATCGATTAGGTCCGTCAGATATGTTGCGACATGGCCCAGGCAATGACCTGCTACTGCGCATGCTGGATAAGGATGATGCATCGCGTGACCCACCTATAGTTGGAGCGTCAATAGCTTCATATCATAACCGGTTCATCGTTGCTCATGGCTGGACAAGTCGAGGTCCAGATGCGACTCAGTGCCTGGAGCATCCGTGGTTTTCCGCATATAGCGAGGCCCCCATGCTTGCGCCTCTGTTTAGAGTTTGCGATAAGCACGATTTGCTTGAGATTGCATTGCTCGGGACAGGTTCCGCCAACTCTTTCCGTAGGCGTTCTTCAATGCGCGAGGATCTCAGCGTCTCAGCACGGATTTTTCAAAAACGAAGTACACGATCATCGAGAGGAATTGGGATGATCCCGATCTGGAGACTTTCAGTATCTTCCGCTTTGTGGCGGACTAGCCAAAGTTTCGCCGGGCCTCAGGTTGAGTCCTATGCCAGGATGCCAGAGCTTCGCAAGGCCGGACATCGGACCTTGGAGGTGTCAGGAAGCCAGAGTCGCATGGAGCTGCACAGATCTGTGATCCGTGAGGGAATTTTCTTACTTTTGGCGCATCAATACGAAGTGCAGAAAGCCGCCTGGGGCCCGGCAAGAGCCGTAGCAGGAAGCGACTGTAACGGTTTCTAGCAACCCGTCGCCTCGGTTCCAAGCTCAGGCCCTTGTGGAGCTCCGGTCGCTTTTCACTCACTTTGATGTGCGGAACCAGGGCAGCCGGCTCAGAGTGTCCTTATGTCACTCCATGGTAACCTATGTCTTATGCCGCACTTCCTGTCATGGCAGAGCAAAACTTGTGAATTGGTGGCTGAGGCAGTTTGAGTGCGCAGGATCTCAAGGCTGTGCTCGTTAAGCCTTGCCCTCAGAGCCTTGTCCAGGCTGTCATGAGTGAAGTTGCAGTTGCAGGGGCAAAGAACCTATGCCAGATGCGTGTTTATTGAACACTGTGAGAAGTTCTTCACTGCCCTCACTGCCCTCACTGCCCTCACTGCCCTCACTGCCAGCCAGGAGTGGCATGGGAGCTGTGGCCGCCGAGCGTGTCTGCCATGCCCTAGACCATCGAAGAGATGGGCAGATCACCTGGACCGGAAGAAGCTTCTTGAAGGCTATTCGAGAGGATTTCCTGACTTCTAGGGCTTCTGGCTCTTTCTAAGTGGCCCACCCCTGCGCGGGATTTGTGGCTCGTAGGGCCAGATGCAGTTTTGCTGTGGCTTCGGGCTTCAGAGCCCAGGTTTGGATTTTCAGTTGAAGCGGGCGCACTTTCACAAGTACAGAGTTGCCAAGGGTTTCATAGGCAACTGCCTCCGAGCTGTCTTGTAGAAGTTAGCAGGACTGAGTTCACCGCGGCTGCGATGTGGTACGTGGCTGGTATCTTACATTCTTGCCTGCGGTGTTCGACGGTTCCAAGCGACGTCACGTGGATCCTCTCAGGTTTGCCGCAATAACCGCGCTATCGACGCAGCCTTCGCCACTTTTGATGCCGACCAGGACGATGTTTGCTGCATCTCTCTCTCTCTCTCTCTCGCTCTCTCTCTGTCTGTGCAAATTCACAGGCAAATGTCGGCTTGTTTTCTACTCGCACTCTGCAGGACGGGCGGATCACTGCCCAGGACCTGCAGACTGTGCTGGCGGACGAAAAGGGCGCTCGGCTTACACCTTCCTTCATGCAGGTGGAACGACAGCTTGGGCAAGTTTGCCAGTTGAGTCCGTGTCTAGAGGCCGCGAAGCATGGCAAAAGCACATGCCCGTGCTTTTTGAAGAGATGGTCAGTGACCCAGCTTGTATGAAGTGTGGGAGGGTGACACTTTGAGGGGCCGGACCGCCTTGAGCACTTCAGCTTTTTGTGTTGGTGCACTGTCAACTTTGACGACCTTCCCGGTTGACTGAGGAGAAGCAGGAAATCACCTCCATGCAGAGGAAGGGCAGCGTCACAGTGTATAATGCAGACAGCTTCATGGCACCTGATGTGATGCCAGGACGGCTCGAAACGCAATTCGCAGTTTCATGCACGTCTTGAAGAAGGAGGTGAGGGTGTGACAATGTTGCCACTACGCCGGAATACACCTCTAGCCATATGTACGCTTTAGATGGCAAAGCTTTATTGCCTTTCACTCTGTTGGCCAGGCAATGAGGTATGCAAACCTCGACCAGCAAGGGCCCCCAGAGCTGAGTCAGGTACAGACGTGTTCGAAGTTGTGTGAGTTCTGGCAGCCAGCGGGGCAAGGTTCCGCCAGTACTTGCAGCAGAACATGGATTTTCGAGCCTGGAGCTCGTTTGTTTTTGCGGCTTTTGCACTGCAAGCATATCTGGCACAACGTTATGAAGGCTGGCGATGCCCTGTACGCAGTGACATAGCAGGGCGGAAAATCTTTCAAGAGCTGCTCGATACAGGGAAGTCTTTCCTTTGCATATAGGGATGGGATCTGAAGCCACCAAAGGATCTTGGGTTTAGGGTTGTGGGAAGGAAGCCTCAGCCAACCCCCTTGCGGCGCCTTTGGTACCGATTTCAGATTTCAATACACGCTTCTATGGGATTTGATCTAGGACCATAATTGAAATTTGTTTCGGGTGTATATTCGACCTTTAATTTTATAAATTGGAAAAAGGATCATTAATATTTAAGAATATGGATATTTTCTTTTCAATGAGAAACAAAAGAATAGAATGGAGGATCATAATTCTTTTCATACAATTGAGTGATTATTTAATCATTAATGATAATATAATTTTATAGATTCATTTTGAATTTTATATTTCAATTTATGAATATATCATGAAATTTTAAAGAGAAAGTGCTCGCCAAGACACCACCCCCAACCGCGTAGGTATTGAGATACTCGATAGGTGCAGGAGATTTCTGCTCCCAAAAATACCAATTAAGAAATAGAATGAGAAATCTAGGAATCAATCCGAAGCAAAATAAAAGATAACGCAAAATTCGTGTTTTCTAAGATGCCCCGCCGTGTTTAAGAACCCATCGCCACCCCCAATTACACAGAACACCTCAGAAAGACGAAAATGGGAAAGAGAGAAGGCAAAGGTCCCCACTGTTGAAACAGACCTCATGGCGTATATATTCGAATTTGGCTCTCGATTGCGCTATCGTATCTCTTTTTGTCATTTCGGCTCCCACTCGAGCAGCCGAGGAGCCAGCCGCGACTGCAAAAACTTATGCAGAGCACAAACGTCGGTCGCAGGATACTGCGTAACAATACGCAATACAAAGTATTGGATTCCAACCTATCATTCTTGAGATGCTGGGAGGTTGGGATGCTGAAACGGCATTTTTCCTAAATGACTTGTGCCGGGATCACGATGATACGTAGTATCGTCGACCGGATAGTTGTCGATATCATTTACAAATAAGGATTTTTTTCTTACTGCAACGACACATCGGACAAATCCTCATGAAGCATCGTAGAGTCCAGGAGCAATCGAGCAACGAGGGCGCGGGCCGATATCTGAATTACATCAAATCTTGATTTTCTAGGTAGGATCTCCTTTGATCTTTCGGGTCAATGGCATTTGAATCGTATCGCCAGGCGTGCCCCGTCGTAGGCCCCGCCTAACGACGTCCTCGGCTGATGGATGCGGTCGTCTATGTGGCCTGTCACGGTCTTGTCTACTTCTAGGGGTTTTGGTCTGTCACGGTGTTGTCCGCTTCTAGGGGTTTTGGTCTGTCACGGTCTTGTCTACTTCTAGGGATTTTGGTCTGTGACGGTGTTGTCCGCTTCTAGGGGTTTTGGTCTGTCACGGTCTTGTCCACTTCTAGGGGTTTTGGTCTGTCACGGTGTTGTCCGCTTCTAGGGGTTTTGGTCTGTCACGGTCTTGTCTGCTTCTAGGGGTTTTGGTCTGTCACGGTGTTGTCCGTTTCTAGGGGTTTTGGTCTGTCACGGTCTTGTCCACTTCTAGGGGTTTTGGTCTGTCATGGTGTTGTCCGCTTCTAGGCGTTTTGGTCTGTCATGGTCTTGTCTACTTCTAGGGGTTTTGGTCTGTCACGGTGTTGTCCGCTTCTAGGGGTTTTGGTCTGTCATGGTGTTGTCTATTTCTAGGGGTTTTGGTCTGTCACGGTGTTGTCCGTTTCTAGGGGTTTTGGTCTGTCACGTGTCACGGGGCGAAACGCGGCAGGCGGCACGCAAAAGTATTGTCCGCTTCTAGATATTTTAGGGATTTTGGTCTTCACGGTGTTTCTGCTCTCGGGATTTTGTTTTTGTGGGGGGTTGGGAGTGGGGGGGGGGGGGTCTGTCCCACGGTGTTTTGTCCACTTCTAGGGGGTTTTTTGTCCTGTCATGGCCTTGTCCGCTCTAGGAAATTTTGTTTTCCACTTCCAGGGTTTTGTTCGCACGGGTGTTTCCCGCTTCTAGGGGTTTTTTTGATCGTCACGGTAATTGTCCATTTCTAGGGAATTTTGGTCTTCACGGTGTTGTCCGCTTCTAGATATTTTAGGGGTTTTGGTCTGTCATGGTGTTGTCTACTTCTAGGGATTTTGGTCTGTCACGAAATTGTCCGCTTCTAGGGGTTTTGCTCTGTCACGGTGTTGTCCGCTTCTAGGGGTTTTGGTCTATCACGGTGTTGTCCACTTCTAGGGGTTTTGGTCTGTCACGGTGTTGTCCGCTTCTAGGGGTTTTGGTCTGTCACGGTGTTGTCCGCTTCTAGGGGTTTTGGTCTGTCACGGTGTTGTCCCACTTCTCGTGGTTTTTAGTAGTTTAAGTCTGTCACGGTGTTGTCCGCTTCTAGGGGTGTTGGTCTGTCCACGGTATTGTCCCACTTCCTAGGGAAATTTGTTCTTATCACGGGTGTGGTCCGCTTTCTTCTCTAGGGGTTTTGGTCTGTCTGGCCGGTGTTTGTCCGCTTTCTAGGGGTTTTTGTTCTGCACGATGTTGTCCACATTCCTAGGGTTGGGTCTGTCCCCACGGTGTGGTCCGTTTCTAGGGGGTTTTGGTCTGTCACGAGTTGTCCATTTCTAGGGCGTTTGGTCTGTCCGGGTGTTGGCCTTTCTAGGGGTTTTTTGGTCTTTCATGTGTTGTCCGCTTCTAGGGATTTTGGTCTGTCACGGTATTGTCCACTTCTAGGGGTTTTGGTCTGTCATGGTGTTGTCCGCTTCTAGATATTTTAGGGGTTTTGGTCTGTCACGGTGTTGTCCGCTTCTAGGGGTTTTGGTCTGTCATGGTGTTGTCTATTTCTAGTGGTTTTGATCTGTCATGGTGTTGTGCGTTTGTAGGGATTTTGGTCTGTCATGGTGTTGTCCGCTTCTAGGGGTTTTGGTCTGTCATGGTGTTGTCTATTTCTAGTGGTTTTGATCTGTCATGGTGTTGTGCGTTTGTAGGGATTTTGGTCTGTCATGGTGTTGTCCGCTTCTAGGGGTTTTGAATTGTGATGGTGGGGTCCTTTTCTAGGGGTTTTGGTCTGTCATGGTGTTGTCCGCTTCTAGGGGTTTTGGTCTGTCACGGTGTTGTCCGCTTCTAGGGGTTTTGGTCTGTCACGGTGTTGTCTACTTCCAGGGGTTTTGGTCTGTCACGGTGTTGTTCGCTTCTAGGGGTTTTGGTCTGTCATGGTATTGTCCACTTCTAGGGGTTTTGGTCTGTCATGGTGCTGTCCGCTTCTAGGGGTTTTGGTCTGTCACGGTATTGTCCACTTCTAGGGATTTTGGTCTGTCACGATATTGTCCGCTTCTAGGGGTTTTGGTCTGCTACGGTATTGTCCGTTTCTAGGGGATTTGGTCTGCCACGGTGTTGTCCGCTTCTAGGGGTTTTGGTCTGTCACGGTGTTGTCTGCTTGTAGGGGTTTTGGTCTGTCACGGTGTTGTCCGCTTCTAGGGGTTTTGGTCTGTCACGGTGTTGTCCGCGTCTAGGGGTTTTGGTCTGTCACGGTGTTGTCCGCTTCTAGGGGTTTTGGTCTGTCACGGTGTTGTCTGCTTCTAGGGATTTTGGTCTGTCACGGTGTTGTCCGCTTCTAGGGGTTTGGTCTGTCACGGTGTTGTCCGTTTCTGGGGGTTTTGGTCTGTCACGGTGTTGTCCGCTTCTAGGGGTTTTGCTCTGTCATGGTGTTGTTTGCTTCTAGGGGATTTGGTCTGTCATGGTCTTGTCCACTTCTAGGGGTTTTGGTCTGTCATGGTGTTGTCCGCTTCTAGGGGGTTTGGTCTGTCATGGCCTTGTCCGCTTCTAGGGGTTTTGCTCTGTCATGGTTTTGTCCGCTTCGAGGGGTTTTGGTCTGTCACGGTGTTGTCCGCTTCTAGGGGTTTTGGTCTGTCATGGTGTTGTCCGCTTGTAGGCATTTTGGTCTGTCACGGTGCTGTCCGTTTCTAGGGCTTTTGTTCTGTCACGGTGTTGTCCGCTTCTTGGGATTTTGGCCTGTCACGATGTTATCCGCTTTTAGGGGTTTTGGTCTGTCATGGTGTTGTCCGCTTCGAGGGGTTTTGGTCTGTCACGGTGTTGTGCGCTTCTAGGCGCTTTGGTCTGTCACGGTGTTGTCCGCTTCTGAGGGATTTGGTCTGTCACGGTGTTGTCTGCTTCTAGGGGTTTTGGTCTGTCACGGTGTTGTCTGTTTCTAGGGGTTTTGGTCTGTCACGGTGTTGTCTGTTTCTAGGGTTTTGGGTCTGTCACGGTGTTGTCCGCTTCTTGGAATTTTGGTCTGTCACGATGTTATCCGCTTCTAGGGGTTTTGATCTGTCATGGAATTGATCGCTTCTAGGGATTTTGCTCTGTCCGTTTCTAGGGGTTGTCCGCTTCTAGGAGATTTGCTCTGTCACGGTGTTGTCCATTTCTAGGGGCTTTGGTCTGTCACGGTGTTGTCTGCTTCTAGGGGCTTTGGTCTGTCACGGTCTTGTCCAATTCTACGGGTTTTGGTCTATCCTGGTAATGTCCATGTTCAAGGGTTTCGTCTGTCACGGTGTTGTCCGCTTCTAGGGGTTTTGGTCTGTCACGGTGTTGTCTGCTTCTAGGGGTTTTGGTCTGTCATGGTGATGTCCGCTTCTAGGGGTTTTGGTCTGTCACGGTGTTGTCCGCTTCTAGGGGTTTTGGTCTGTCACGGTGTTAACCGCTTCTAGGGGTTTTGGTCTGTCACGGCGTTGTCCGCTTCTAGGGGTTTTTTGTCTGTCACGGTGTTGTCCGTTTCTAGGGGTTTTGGTCTGTCACGGTGTTGTCTGCTTCTAGGGGTTTTGGTCTGTCACGGTCTTGTCCGCTTCTAGGGGTTTGGTCTGTCACGGTGTTGTCCGCTTCTAGGGTTTTGGTCTGTTACGGTGTTGTCCGCTTCTAGGGGTTTTGGTCTGTCACGGTGTTGTCCGTTTCTAGGGGTTTTGGTCTGTCACGGTGTTGTCTGCTTCTAGGGGTTTTGGTCTGTCACGGTGCTGTCCGCTT